CATCTGGGGGGTAAAAGATGTGCTTCTGCCTGGGGTTCTCCCACTATTAGTCAAGTGACCTTGAGCAATCCTTCTACCTATCTGAGCCTCAGTTTCCTTGTCTGTCATGGTTGAAGCATTCTCTGCCCTGCCTGTCTCACTGACCTCAGTCAAATATTGGGTGTGTGCGCATCAGCTCCCACAACCAAACGCTGGATGACAGGTGGAGCTGCCTCCAGGGCGACTGGATTAAGGAAACAATCTCTCAATCAATCTCTCCTCTGTTTTGTTTCCCTTTGCCTGTTGGCTTCTTTCTCTCAATGCTGGAATCGCAGCTATAGGCTGCTCTGGCCTCCTGTAATCCTTAAAGCCTCACAACGAAAAGGAAGAGAACCCTGGCAGCAGCAGAAAGAAAACCCCCAGAATCACTCATCCTGGCTGGGGGTGTGGTGGGTGGGTTGAAGATGGGGTACTCTGATTGGTCCAGTTTGGGCCATGTGCCCATGTCTGCTCCAATCACTGTGGCCCAGGGCAATGGAGCACGATGATTGGTCCACTTGAGAGAAGGCTCACCCTTTGGCCAGGGGGAGGTGCTGTGGCTGGGAACCCCCATCAGAAACACCAGACTGCCCCCACTCCTTTAGGGTACTGATGCGTCTTTTCTGTATCCTTACATATGAGACCCATCCCAGTATCTGGCATGCAGTAGGCACTTTCTACATGTCTGTGGAATAGTGTTGCCAGGGAGGCTTCTGACACTCCAGAGTTACTTGAGTTAGATACCTGCTTCTGGACTTCACAGCACCCATCCCTGTTCCCAAGTACTGCTTCTGTTCAATTACTTGTTAGCGTCCCGCATTAAAACGTGAGCTCCTCAAAAGCGAGGACCTTGTCTGGCTTGTTTACTGCCAAGTCCTCTGTGCCTGACAGCCTCTGGTACAGATAATTGGTCAATTAATATTTGTGAAATGAACGTCAACTGTCTGTGAGGCTCAGTGCCTTGACAGAAGGAGCCTGATTCTGCCCTTTCAGGTTGCCTAGCGCCTTCTCCATCCCTCTCCATCCTCAGTTCCAGTTTCTGTTCCTCTGGGTGCAGTTATGACTTAATGTATGCCCAACAGCCAATTCTAAATACATTTCTGTGCCTTAGGTTCTGTTTTTTATAAACACTAGTGAGACCATTGCTTTGACAAAGGTGCTAAGATCTACAAACATTTATATTTGTTTAATCATCTTACAATTGAGTGCTTTTATCTTGAATGTTGAACTTTTTAAGTGAAGTTCCAATAGTACTTGCAGTAGTGAGAGGTGTTTCACCCGCACCAGAATGAATTCTCAAAAACTTTACTTTGCCAGAATTGGATGAATAAAGTGAACCATTATTGAAATTGATTGATGTTTCAATTGATGCATCTGGTGACACTAAAACTGGCATTGTTTCACCATATGTGAAATTCTGCTGAGATGCTATCCAATGAATGACCACTGCTTTATTTTCAGCTTACATATAAGAAAACTTAGAACACAGAGCAAGCTCGATTTTAAACTGCCACCTGCTCGGTTGCCCCTGTGCATGTTAAATTGTGGATTCTGGGTTCTGGACAGCCTTATTCTTCTTTTTTGTTTTTTTGAGATGATATCTTGCTCTGTCACCCAAGCACTGGAGTGCAGTGGTGCAATCTTGGCTCACTGCAACCTTCACCTCCTGGGTTCAAGCGATTCTCCTGCCTCAGCCTCCTGAGAAGCTGGGACTACGGGCATGCTCCACCATGGCTGGCTAATTTTTGCATTTTTAGTAGAGACAGGGTTTTGCTACTTTGGTCAGGTTGGTCTTGAATTCCTGACCTCAGGTGATCCACCTGCCTCAGCCTCCCAAAGTGCTAGGATTACAGATGTGAGCCACCATGCCTGTCCTGGAAAGGCTTCTTAAAGTTCCTGTGAACCTTTGAGGTGGCTGCTGACACTTTTTGAGCAGACTTCTTGGTAGTCAGTGGTATTGCTGTGGTTCTTGGCAGATGGTAGATGCAGAGAACAACTTTGTGCCTGTTACAGTTTCATAATTAACTTTCTTAGGAAAGAGAAAGTCAATATATTTACATTTTCATTACTCAGGCACTTTCCTTTTTTGTTGAGTTCATTGCTACCAAAAGGGTTTATTGAAAAATGAAAATGCAGTGGCAAACAATAACTAAACCACTGTAGCTTTGTAGCAAGTGGTAAGTAGCAAAGTCAATGCAGCAAGGCCATGCGGACTCCCCTCTGTGAACACTTCTTCCTCCCAGCTCCTGGACATACTGCCTACGTGCCTGGCTTGTCTCTCTCACTTTTCCCACCGACCCCAGAGCCTAGTGGCTTCATGCATCTTGTGGTTGTGCAAGTGGCTGAGGCGCTGAGCAGTTGGTGGGAGCAGAGGTGCTGTGTCCTTCTCTCAGCACCACCACCATGGGACGAGCTGGCTCTCCTCAGTTACCTGTGTCTGCCTGCATTTCAGTATCTCAGGAATGGCCCGGGTGCTGTTTTTGAAAGGTTCCACTGAGTCAAGAGAGTGTTGGGAGGGAGAGGCAGGTCAGCACTCTGCCTCTTCCCGTTGCAGCTTCAAGCGTAGATGAGAACTTGCTCATGGCACACCCCATGTGCCTACACACCAGGAGAGTCCCACACCATGAGATGCAGTCATGGCAGAAGCTGAAGCACAGGTGGGGAGTTACCTACCTCCCCCAGCTTCTTTTAGAGCAAGTCTTCAACGAACTCCACTAAACAATGCAAAGCTGGGTGCACGCCAAAGCAGGCCCAACACTGGGATAACAGGAGTCACTCAGGACAGCCCCAGAGAACCCAGAATGTATAGTCCCTTTATCCACTGGCTCTCGCTGGTATTCTGGTTTCAGATAGACTTGAGGACAGTTTCCCAGTCTGGGGTCTCCACTCCTGTGTGGTGTGAGAGTTTAGGCCTTGAATGAGTAGGGGGCATGGGTGGAAAGTCCACTGTCCCACAGTTGTCTCAGTGTCTACCCAGTGTCTGCTGTAAGAGGGTGCTCCCTGCTGCTGCCTCAGGCAGGTGGGAGGGAGGAGTTTTCCCATGGGACCACCCATTTGCTATTCTTAGCTTGAGACGGAAAGCCCAGTTTTGACTTCCATGGAGGATGGGGCCCGAGGCCTTTCTTCCACTCGCTGCTGTGACTTCCCTCCACATTTCTGGCCCCTGTGACTCTCCCATCTCCTCCTGACCTCTTCATAAATACAGCTCAGCTACACACAAAATATATGTCTACACTGCACCACATCTGGGACTCCTGCAGATGCCAGCAGAGGTTGACGGAGGGCGGCGGCTTCTCACAGTGGCTCAGGACCCCATCACCTGAAATGCAACTCTTCCAAAGGCCACTTATTTCACTTATGGGTTTGGAAGGCCTTGAGATCCACCTGGGCCTTCCCTCTCCTCCGACCTTGCCCCTCAGATGATGCCAGGCCCCCAGGCCTCCTCTGCTTGCCCTTGAATAAATGCCACCAAATGGTCATGGAAGTCATGTGAAGTCAGCCAGGTGTGGGTCTCTGGCACATGACCTGGGTAGAAGCTGTACCCACTTGCCCCTCCACCATCTCCCACACACACATGTGAGTACACCCATCCATGCTGGCCATGAGGGTATCTGGGACCCTGGTGAGGCCCTAGACAGAATCCGATGGCAGCTCTCACACTTCCCTCAAGACCATAATTGTTTCATCCATACAGTAGATACAGTTGTTCAAAAATGTTTATGGAATGAAAGAGGAAGGAATGAATAAAAAATTTAAGAAACTCCCAGAACCTCCTTCCTCCGTCCCAAGAGGTATCAGACAGTTCATCAAGCTTCTTGGGGATCAACACACCTGGCCGTGGCATCAGGGTGAGATGGGAGGAGAGTCTCAGGTGCGGCTCCCAGCAGGGCTGCCTCCCCTGCTGGGGGCTCCTGTGTCCTGGACTTCTCTGCCAGGGCTGCAGAGGGCTGCTCTTCTCCTTCAGCAGGGCACCCCTCGCTAAGTCCCCCCGACCCCCTAAGGCAGCTGACTCTGCCTGGAAACACAGACACCAGGCGCACCTCAGGTGGCATAAACTAGAAAGTAGGTGGCAAAGGAGAGATGGGCAGGATGAGCTAATGACACGGGCCTGCCTTATTGGACACAAGGGGTGCAGCAGGCAAATGGCAGAGCAGGACAGAGGCAGTCTCGGGCTTGGGAAGAGGCAGTATGTGGTGACCCCCTCCCCGTTCTGATTTCGAGGGCCACGGTCACCTGTCAAACCAACAGCTCCAGGACGTGTGCCACTGTTTGCGTAAGAGGAACGATGCCCCTGGGAAACAGCACGGAAGCAGGAGGGCTTCTGCTCTCTGCTGTGTGACTTCGAGTAGGTCCTTTTCATCCATGAACCTTGAGATCCTTGACACATGGGAATAGCAAACCTCACCTTGTCTTTCTCCTAGGACGTCTCAGTGAGAGAGGGACCTGAGACACCCTCCCACAGCACCTCTGCTCGACAGGAGAGAGAGCTGGGGCCCAGGGATGAAAGGGACACAGGCAGCATCACACAGCAGATCCACAGCAAAGCGGGCTCCAGGCCAGGTCTCCGACCTCTGGGACAGCACCTGCCCCCGGCCTGAGTCCAGCCAGTGCGGATGTTCCTGGGAGGAACAGTTTTCTAGAGGGCACATGGCTCTGGGTCCTCTTGTGGGAGACCTGTGGGCTGGGCTACATGCAATGAAGCCTGTGGTTTAAATGTCAGGAGGAAGAATCCTAGGATAGATTCTTGTTACATGGCATGGGATTCCCTGGAGGGCTTCGCTGGTGTGTGGAGCACCCTCATTCTTACCAGCTTGCACCCATGGGTGACTCCATCTTCAGCAGAGCTCAGACTTGTCAGCATGTGATAAGTACCCCCAGAGCAAAGCTCCATGTTTAGCAGAGGTGCACAGCCATCGGGGGAAATCATTTGGATTGGATTTTAGGTGGTAGCAGGTGGTTTCCATGACAGAGACCAGTTGATGGCACGGGTTTGTTTCTTTTAATCATGAGAAGTCTCTCTGTGGGTGGGTGCTGAACTCACCATGCTGCATGGCTCATGGCTGTGGGTGACCGGTCCCCAGTCAGTCTCATGTGGCAGTCGGGACCTTCTACTTCCTTGCCTTCACTTTCTTTTCTTTGCTCACTCTGTGGGGCTTCAGGGCTTCCTCCTGGCCTGCATGACTGGTTATGGGGGGCGGGTTAGGGGTGGGGGCGTTGAGGTTCAGAGTTTTCTTCTGAAGCTTCAGGTCCAAGATGGCGAACGTGTTCTGGATCTTGCACTGCAGCAGCTCCTGCAGGAGCTCCATCTGGATGTGGATGACCTGGCGGACAAGGCTCTCCAACTCCTGGAAGGAACAGGGAGGGCCGGTGAGCGGGGTTGGGAGGTCTCACCAGATCTGGTTCTCAGCTCGGCCCCTACTGCGGGTATGAGGATGTGTCTACTGTCCACCCATCTCACCCTGCCCATGGGCCGTGGCTGCCTTGACCTCTGGCTTCTGGTTGACTTCAGTCAACTAGGGGTGGGAGGTCTGAGGGTGAGGAGGTCTTCATCTTCTCCTGACCGGCTGTGGGCTGGCCATGGCCACGGACCATGGGTAGTCACACTTCCTGTCCCTCAACCCTTGCCTATAACTAAAGCTCTCTTTTTAGATTCCAATAGTCACTCCCTCCCTTTTCTCTTTTGGCCTAGAGTGATGGCCAGGCTGTTTGAGTGTGTCATTTGTTCTGGGCCCATTGGCCAGTGCCGTATTTCCTATAGACCCTACTTCCTGGTCAATGCAGGCTCCATCTGGATACCCTGCCCCCAACCATCCTCATTCTCACCTCTCAAAGTTCTAGTGGCAGCTTCATGGGAGGGGACAGGGGAAATGGCTTCAGAGATTGGGCGTGTCATCCACCCAGCCAGCCATAGGAAGAATGGAAACTCAGCCACCGTCTATCCACCGAGTTAAACAGGAAACCCCATTCGTCAGCTCCATCAGAGTCATGGCCAACAGAGCCTGGAGACACAGACGACGTAAGTGTGTTTCTCCAGGTTCCCTGCCCGAGCAACCACACAGCAGAGGCGCTATTGTCAGGGGACACACTGGAAGCAACTGGTTGTCCGTAGTGCATTTCTTTGAGATCTTGTATTCATTTAAAAGGTATGCAAAATTGCACATTTGCCCCAGCATATCCTCTTGGTTGTTTTTGTAGAAAAAATTATTGGGGAAGGTTGTTGTGCTATAGGAGAATGCGCAGTGTTTGTTCTATGCCCTTGAGTGCCCCATCTCAGGTGAATAGCTGGGGTACACGGTGTAGGGAGCTCTGGCTCACCAGCTCCGCCAGGCTGGGGCCAGCAGTGCCATGCTGGAGGCTGGGCGGGGAGCTGGGAGGAGCAGGCAGGAACAGCTGTGGGACGTGCGGGGCCGTTTGGGCCACTGTGGCCATGCCCCGCCCCACCCCACCCCGTGTGCTAGAGCAAGGTCCGTAGACTGTTACAGGGGTTTTGTTGGGTCTTTATTGAATGTCTTCATGAGCTAAGATTTCATGGCCCCCTGATGTGCTATTTGTCTGCAGACTTAACCTTAGATGAGCACCATCCAGGCTGCTGTGCTCATTGCTCTGTAGAGTTTTTCCTCTGTGTGTGTGTGTGTGTGTGTGTGTGTGTGTGTATAACCCTAAAGGAATACTTCCCAAGGCCATTTGCTCTTCAGCTGATGATTCAGAAACCAAAATCCCTTGGAACTCACAGGCCCTGCAACTCCCCGACCCCAATGCCTGAAACACATGCACATACTTGTCTCTTAAAGTATGTTCAAAGATGATGCAACAATGATGACTTCAGTGCCTATGTATAGCTAAGAAACCAATGTAGGCTTGGCCAGGCCCTCAAGAAGTCAGCTACCCTGGGGCTGGGGTCGTCACGGTCATTGAAGAGCTGGTCATGGGAAATGCTGGCAGCTAGAGCCCCAGTGGTCTGGCAGACTCTCCAAGAGGGCAGCCCAAAGTCTGAGATCCAGGCACCAGATCCTCCCAAGTCCTCCCCCGGTCCCAGCTCCGCCCTTTGTCTCCCTGGTCACATGACCCTCCCCGAGCTGTCCCCATGTCCCTGCCTCCTCCATCTTCTCCCCTAGCCTGGGGGCGTGCTGGCTCTGGAGAATCTGCAGCAGTTCCAAAGCTGGAGTCTTTCTCATGCCTCTCTTGGTGGAATCTGTCACTGATCAATGACACAGAGGAAGGAACTTAGACTTCAGGGTCAGTCAGCCTCAGTCCAAATGTGAACTCTACCTCATGCTAGCTTGGTGGCCTTGGCGAGTTGAAAAGTTCTCTGAGCCTCAGTCGTCTCATCACTAAAACAGGGACATGAATTTCTACCTTTAGTCTACCGAGAAACCCGTGGTAGACTCTTGATTCCTCCCTGCATCTCTCCCCCTCCCATGGGTGCCAACGAGGAGCTCCCATCTGCAGTGCTGCCAGACCTGGTTGATGTCTCTGCTGGCCTAGGTGCCCACCCATGGCAGGTGGTCAGAGCCTCACCTGTCTCTCCAGGACCCGGCCAGGCTGCGCAGGCGCAGCAGCAGTGAACACGTTCTGCAGTGAGCTCTCCAGCTCCAGGAGCAGCGTCTCTTTCAGGAGCAGCACGTCGGCGCGCTTCTGTGCCTCGGCCTCCGTCAGCGCCGCCACCTGCTGCCGGTGGGTCCACAAGTCCCTGTCCATGCCCTCGGCCAGCGGGAGGGGCTGGGGTGGCATGCACACCTCCAGGTGGGCAACGGTCAGGCTGACCTGCTGGTCCTGGCCCAGGACATACTGGTAGAGTTTGTAGTGGCGGATGAAGGTATGGTGGAAGTAGTCACAGAGGGCCAGCAGGTGGGTGGTGTTGAAATGGTCCTGGTAGTCTCTGAGCTTGTTCCCCAGGATCGTCACAGCCTCAGTAATGGAGCAGCCTGTGGGCACAGGTGCCAGGTACAGAGTGGGAGTGGGACAGAGCTGCCCTGCCAGGCAGTGGATGTGGGCTCTGCACCTAGACAGCCTGGTCACAGAGCCCATGTCCCCACCGCATTTTAAAAAATATTTATTTCTATTTATTTTTTTGAGACGGGGTCTAACTCTGTCACCCAGGCTGGAGTGCAGTGGTGCGATCGTAGCTCGCTGCAGCCGCCAAATTCCAGGCTCGAGAAATCCCCCTGCCTCAGCCTCCTGAGTAGCTGGGACTACAGGTACATGCTACCATACCCGATTAATTTTGTTTATTTTTTGTAGAGATGAGGTTATCACTATTTTGCCCAGGCTGAACTCCTGAACTCAAGCCATCCTCCTGCCTTGGCCTCCTAAAGTGCTGGAATTACAGGCGTGAGCCACTGTGCCTGCTCTAACTGCAATTCTTATTACCATGCATTAGCTCTTGAAAAATATGGAGTGTACCACGTTTCTTTTTTTACTTGCAGTAACTTACACTTATCCCATTTTTTCTTACATAATTACCCCAGTATAATCATATAAATATGATTTTATGATCTCAGTATAATCACATTATCATTACCAGTATTTTGTCTTTTTTGTTTGTTTGTTTTTCCGAACTCCTGGGCTCAAGCAATCCTCCTGCCATGGCCTCCCAATGTGTTGGGATTACAGGAGTGAACCACCACACCTGGCCAGTATTTTGTCTTTTGATGCCTGTTTTAAAGACTTACTTTAGTTTGCTTTATCTTGTTTCTACTTCTCTTCAGGAAGGAGATGAGCATGCAGAAAAGGAATCCCCATAAGAGTAGAGTAGGAGGTGGCTGGGCACGGTGACTCACACCTGTAATCCCACCACTTTGGGAGGCTGAGGCGGGTGGATCACTTGAGGTCAGGAGTTCGAGACCAGCTTGGCCAACATGGCAAAACCCCATCTCTACTAGAAATACAAATATTAGCTGGGTGTGGTGGCAGGTGCCTGTAATCCTAGCTACTCGGGAGGCTGAGGCAGGAGAATTGCTTGAACCCAGGAGGTGGATGTTGCAGTGAGCCAAGATCATGCCACTGCACTTCGGCCTGGGAAACAGAGCAAGACTCCATCCCCCTGCCAGAAAAAAAAAAAAGAGTGGAAGCAGGTGATTGATGCCCAGGCAACTGTTGTGCTGGTGGCTTGTGTTGCAGAGTTGGGAAAATATTATTTACCCCGTGCAAAGGATTGGCTCTGAAGGTAGCACTTGGGCAGTGCTCCTCGGGGGGTGACCCATCTCCCCACTTCTTCTCTCCTCCTCTCCCATTCACTCCTCCTGCTCACAACTCTTTCAGGTGCTCAGCACAGTGGTTGGAGGCAGGGCTCTCCCATCATCTGCTTGGTTCTCAACAGAGGAGGTGGTTCATGAAGGGTCGTGGCTGAATTACATGCCTACCCTGGTGAGTAGATGAGCAGACATCAGGCAGAGAGACAGGCAAGTCAAGGGCAGCAGGAGAGCACGGCCCTGGCTTGGAGACCAGGGTTCTCATAGACACTGTCCTGGAATTGCACTGTGGACTTGGCCAAGCCTATCCTGCTCCCTGACTCAGTGTCCCCCTCTGAAGAATGAGGGCTTGGGCCAGGCGCCCACCAGATCATGCACTTTGGAGAATTCCACAGTTCCCTCTGCTGACAATGAAAGTAGCATGTTGTAGGCAAGGAGCCAGGCTTTTCCCCGAAGTGGGGGACCTGGCTTGTCCACAGACCCTTTCCTTTGCTCTTCCTTTGTGTGAGCCCTCCATGGGGCACTATGCGGTTTCCTCACCCCCGGCTAGAGTGCTGCATGCCCCTTCAGCAGGGACTGTCTCAGCCTTGCCCACAAGGTTGTTTTGAAGTCCCCCCACCCCCAGTCCCTTCATGTTCCCTCTTGGCTGGTCCCTGAGGCTGTCTTGCTCTGTATGGAAATATTCACCTTGAATCTCCCCAAAGTACCCAGAGGGTGGAGACATCATGGTCTTGGGAAAATATTAGCAAAAGGGGCACCACTCCACTTGAAGCCATGTTAGGATGTGCTGGGAGTGACGCCTGGATTCTGGCAATCTCAGCCTCCTGGGGGAGGGAAGGAGGGACTGTTCCACCATGCAGAATTACAGACTGGAGGCTGTACTTCTCCTTTCTGTGATGGCAAACCAGCAGGCTTGGAGCCCAAGGGTTACACTTCTCTTGTGAGGGTACCGGGTTTGGAGGTCTGAGATACTCTGTCCCTCTTAGATATGAGACTGGGCCTTTTTCTCTCAAATGTAAAATTCAGAATAGTGATACTGACTTCACAGGCTTGTTGGAAGGGTCAAATGGGGTAAGATGTCCAGCTTCATACAGAGCCTAATGCAAGCCAGCAATCAATAAATGCTGTAGAAAGAATTTATTTCTACCTTTGCAAAAAAATGTTTCTCTCTTCCCCTTTCCCCTCCCCCATCAAGCCTTCCCTCTATTCCTTCCTTCATTCATCTCTGTCCATCTTTCCATTCATCCATTCTTTCACCCACCCATCCATCCATTCATCCATCATCCTTCCACTTATCCATCCATCCATCCATCCATCATCCTTCCACTTATCCATCCATCCATCCATCATCCTTCCACTTATCCATCCATCCATCCATCCATCCATCCATCCATCCATCCATTCATTCATCTATTCTTCCATCCACCCATCTATTTTTCCACCCATTTGTTTATCCATTCACCTATTTATCCATCCATTAATTCTTCAATCTATCCACCCATCCATTCACCCATCCTTCTATCCATTTGTGAAAGGAAAATAAAAACTTGGGAACCCAATTCACTATGCCAAAAGAAAAAAATTAACCTGAAAGTTGAGTAACACAAGAAACTGCCTTTCCTTTGATTCCTAAGCAGGTAGCTACAAATAAATATCTCCACAGGTAGCTACTCTATGTTCACCTTATCTTATATAAGGTGCCAATTTACTGAGCAAGGGAGGAACACATAATTGATTATTCCCCACCTGCTCCTTTTCTCTTGCAACATGTGGATCACCATACCCTCCTTTTTTTCCCTCCAGCCCACTTTCCCCTTTAAATATCGAAGCCCTCAAAATTATCCTTGGAGAAAGGAACAGATCTTTCTTCCAGGTATGTCATTAACCTTGGCAAAATAACCTTCTAAATGGATTGAGACCTGCCTCAGATACTTTTCGGTTTACACATTTATCCTTCCATTCACCCAAGATTAGTTTGTCAAATAGTGACTGAACCTATAAATTGTTACTGCTTATTAATTACTTGGCACTATGCAAGATTTTGGCAATACTTGACAACAAATAAGTCATATCTCCTGCTCTCAGATGCTTGCAGGAGAGACACAAGCAGATAATGGCAGTGCATAGTAAAGAGGAACAGAGTTGGGTGAAGAAGAGCATGGACTTCAGGACTGGGTCCTTCTAGAGAAGGCGATGTGTGAGCTGCATCCCAGAGTGAGGCTGAGCCAGGCCCAGAGGTGGGGCCACTTCACAGCCCAGCTGAGTGACAGCAGAGGAGCAAGAAGCAGCCTGGCCTGGGTGGGAGCAAGGTGAGGCTTGTTGTCGTTGGCACCTAAAGGTGGAGGCAGATGATGGCAAGAGCTGCATGGAGAGGTGGGTGGAAGACAGACACAAGGGCCTTGGATGGATGCCATACTCAGAACCAGGGCTCTGTCTTCTGGGCAGTGCACAGAAGGAGCAGATCTGAGTGGCAGGACCTGGCCATCCTCAGACGTAGGGTGTGCAAGACAGAAACCGGCACAACCCCCTGGTTCTTACGGGGGATGTTTAAGGGACAGTGGGCCTACCAACAGAGAGAATACCATATGGTGAGATGCTGACCTCTGACATGACCCCTGCCCTCAGAGAGCTTCCAGTCTTGAAGAGGAGACAGTTGAATAAATGATGGCCACCTTTGTATTCTCGGCCCCCAGCACTGGGATTTGTGCACAGGAGGGGCCCAGTCAAAGTCCAGAGTAAATGAACCAGCTCTAATATGTCAAGGTGGAGGTGTTCATTCATTCTGTCAACAAATACTTATTCGGGGTTTCCCTGTGCCAAGAACTCTTCCAGGTTCCAGGGAAGTGGTGGAGGGCTGGGGAGGAAATGCACAGATATCTAGCTCTGCACAGGGCTCTGTGGGACTGGCAGCACACAGGACAGGAAGAAGGTCAGGAAGGGCTTCCCTGAGGAGGCAGTAAAGGGGCTGGGATGGACTGGATCAAAGGGGTTTGCTGGGCAAAGAGGTGGTGAAGAGCGAGGCAGGAGGGACAGCAGCTTGTGCAAAGGCCCTGTGGTCGAAGCAGGCATGGCCCTCTGAGGGACTGAAAGGTGGGGGAGGAAGGCAGTCAGTAGGCTGGAGATCTGCAGGCGAGGAGCTGCCTGGCTGGAGATGAGGTTGGGTAGGCCAGGCCCTGAAAGCCCCTAGCATGCCCTGCCCTGCAGGGGTCCCACCCCCAGGGTCACTGTCTGGCAGTACCCCCGAGGGAGTCTTTCTCCAGAGTACTCATCAAAGTCTTTGATCTTGCGCATTTTACTGATGTGATTTGTTCTTGGTCATTTTCCCTCCACTAGCACTTAAGCTGTGAGAGAGCGAGAGGCCATCTTTTCTGTTCACTGCTGGGTACCAAGTGCCAGAGCAGTGCCCAGCTCCTAGGAGGTGCGCTGCAGAGAATGAGAGCCTTGTTGAATGGACACAAGGGAATGGGCATAGCACTTTCAGAGGCCAAGGCAGGGGGAATCACTCGAGCTTGGGAGTTCAAGACCAGCCTGGGCAACATAGAAAGACCCCAACACTATAAAAAAAAAAATAGCCAGCATGGTGGTGCGTGCCTTTAGTCCCAGTTACTCAGGAGGCTGAGATAGGAGGATCACTTGAGCCCAGGAGGTCAAGGCTGCAGATCGTGCCACTGCACTCCAGTCTGGACGACAGGGTGAGATCTTGTCTCTCACACACACAAAAGGATTTATTTAGG